GTTTATAGTTTATGGGAACTTGAATAGAATTTGTGTCCTACTATTGTGTGAAAATTGTATAAATGTTAATTATGTTGCATTGGTTAAAAAAATAAAGCATCATGGGACTTCCCTGGTGGTCCAGTGGCTAAGACTCTGAGCTCTGAATGCAGGGCACCCAGGTTAGATCCCTGGTTAGGGAACAAGATTCCACAAGTGCAACTAATGATCCTCCATGCGGCAATGAAGACTGAAGATCCCACATGCCGCAACTAAGACCTGGAGCAGCCAATAAATAAGTACATGTTAAAAAAAAAAAAAGAAAGTCATTTTTGCCTTGCATCTGGGTCCTAGCCAACAATGCTGAGAGATAGATACTTGCCTTCGTTTAACTGGGATTTCCAAGACCTGTTCTTTCTCCACCATAACTTGCCATAAACTAATATTTGAAAAACATCTGAGTTTTTTTTCTTAGGTTTCATGTTTAATTATACTTAATTGAAATTTAGCATAAATATATATTTCTGCCTTGGAAGAGTTTCTTTCCCTTTTTCATGGTAGCATTAGAGTCATATCGCTGATCACTTAATTATGACCTCCTCTGGGGGGAAATGTTAATGAAAAACTTTGGAGTACCAAGAAGCTTGTTTCGGATTTGAACGCTGAGTCGCTCTATTGCCCATCTGGTTTTTGAAAAAACGGATCCCCTAACTAAATCGCTCCCCTAACTAAATCTTTCCGTAAAAGATCTTTGGAGCTTCCACTTGCAAAAGAGATTTGTGTGGGAAGACATTTCTACATCAACCATGCTCTGCCTGCTTCCATAATAACACATAATTGCAGATCCACAGACATTACAAATCATATACAACCAGAAGTAGTGCTAAGTTGCTTTGTTTTTCCAAGTTTCCTGATTAAACTGAAAATTTGTGTACAGCTTCCTCATTCAAACAGGGGCCCCTCTTTCTTTCTCATGAGGCGGAAGAGGCTGGCACCAACCACTCAAGCCTTCTAGCACCGCACCTCCTGGGCCTTCTCAGTGGGACCAGCTCTGTGATGAGCCGGAGGGTGAGATGGAGGCGGGAGGGAGGCTCGGGAGGGAGGGGAGATATGTATACACACACCTGATTCACTGCCTTGTGCAGCAGAAACTGACGCAATATTGTAAAGCGACTGTACTCCAATAATAAAATTATTGTGAACGTGATTTTCAACTCATCTCTGTCAGCTCGACTCAGTCGTCTCACTTCCTTTTGTCCCTACGAGCTATATGTTAATACATCTCATAAATGCACTGCTGTTCTCAGCTGTAGAACATTCTCCCATTGAAAGACAGGGAGCTAATTAACGCAGCCCCGCCAACAACGAGGGCTGCGGTCCCCCTGATGCTTGCGCGGGCGCTGCGGACAAGAAATGACCGTGTCCAGGAGGCTCGGAGCTTCAGGAGAGCACGTGAGCGCGGGGACAGGCTGAGATGATGCGGTCACCGTGCCCGGAGCCTCGCCTTGGCGGACTAGACCCCTCTGCAGATCGGACGGGAGGTGGTGTGCAGCACCGCAAGGCTTTACCATTATGGGATTCTTAAATATTCATAAGAGAGATTGATAAGGGAGGCAGGGAGAGAGATAGAGAGGGAAAGAAAGGGAAAACATGCCTTCCCAAACCATTAACACAGGCAGACAGCAAGCTAACTCGCTTATGACCTACATAGATGGTATATCACGTTCCATCATCCTGAAGACATTTCGGATTTTAGAAACATTTCAGGAAATTTAGAAGTCCAAATCTAAAATTTATTTTCATGCCTTTACAAAGACTGGCAAATTTGCAAAAGGCTGTCATCTTTTATGAAAGGAAGATGAAGCAGTCCCCTTCCTATTTTTATTAAGGACAAAAATATGGGAATTTCTATTTTCTCAGAGTAAGATTTATTCTGGATGAAAGTGTATTTTTTTAAAATCATGAGTACACACCATGACTAGCTTTCCAGTTATCCATAGAAGAAAATGAAAATTCATTTCTTGCCTAATTGGAGAAAAATCTGTTTGTAGTTTTAAATGACCAATTGTGTATCTCTGTGTTTTTCAGTAATTTTATGACTTGAGCACTTTTACCTTGAATATTCTTCCCCATATTGGCTTTTAATTAAACCCCAGTGCGGGCTTCAGAGTCTCCAAATATTCAGTTATTGAACGGCTTTTATTGTGACAATTCCACATATTTTTAGCTTTTAAAAAAAAGCTCTAGTAATCTTCGGTGTAGAATTTGCATTATTTAACTCTGAATTGAAGATATGGGTTTGTAGGTTCCTTTTTAATTTTTGTGGAAAGCTTTTGTTAATTTTGAACTATGTCCCAAATACTCCAAAGAGTGAGCTAAGGAAATGATCGGAGGGAGACTGGTGACACAGGAGCCCGGAAGCCCGACTCTGCGCGGGCGCCCAGCAGGACTGCCCGCCTGGCACCTCTTAATCAGGCCGGAGAGATGGAGCAACGCTGTTTGAGCAGAGAGGATGTCCCACTCTCACGTGGAAGGGTGAAAACTCGGGACATTTTTTACCTCTTGGGACGTCATTAAATAAGGTATGCCATTTGGTGCCTTAAGTTTAAACAATAAAACTGAAATGACTGAATTAAAGTGAACGATTCAGCAAATTTTTTTTTCTAATGCCCCCCAAAAAAAGGTAGTGGGAGGAAAGATGGCAAGAGAGAATAATCAAGTCAGCGTGCAGAATGGAGGGCCTTAGTTTCCGTCCGGAGGGACCACCATCCTTTAATATAGTCACTTAAAAATACATGCATTGCTACATTTTTCATTAGCCTTAATTTTTTCATCAATCATGTTAATTTATACAGAGGGCACTTAATAATAGCTAATTAACACTTATGACTTTTGAAATTAAAAGACCTTTGGAGAGATTACCGCTGATTGGGGAAAGGATTTTTTTTTCTTCTCATTTTATAAAAGAGAAAGAGCACTAAGGTACGGGGCCAGTATATCGAGAGGCGATTCCATCTGCTGCTTCTCTGACTGTCAGGCAGGTAACAGTGATGCTGGTCTACATGGGCCCTGTGATGTCCTTTGACACAGCCCCAGAAAAACAATATACTGAGCATTGCTAGTTTCAAATTAAATAAATCAAAATTAAGGATAATCTTTAAATAGATTGAGACCAAAATGAAATGTATCATTGCCCCAAAATACTGTCAGAAGGAAATAAAAAATAATAATCAGGTGTAGTTACTCTTTTGGAGTAAACGAAAGCATGTTAAAAATAAAAATCTACCAAGTTAAAATAATATTGACAATTTTAGGGAGAAACAAGCTGTATAATTACCTCATCAATCCACAGAGGTGTCTGAGTTGTATTTGTTTCTGTCACATTAGTCACTGTGCTTGCCTATATTTTTCCTTTGTGTTCTAACATTTCAGGTCATGCTCTGTGCATGAGGAAAGCAGATTTGAAGTGTATCTTTTAAAATATCTACAAAATGGTTTTGGTCGAGTACTTGTCTTGTGTGATTAGGGTGTGTGTATATGTTTGTGAGTACATATACATACATAAATATACTATCAATATTGTATGCTAATATTTCATATGTAGTATTTGCATATATTTATAGCATTTTATATCTGTATTTATAGACATACCATATATATTTATAGACATACCTATCTATACATAATATTATTTAACAATTTTATCCACCAGTAGATGTCTCTCTCCCCTGACTGATGGTTTATCTCTAGGATTGCTAAAGTTTTCACCAAATCTGGTTTTTGTATGAATTTGAAATTAAGGTTTTCAACCTAATGTATCTCCCACCCAATCTGTGTTTTAAATGCTTGTCATGTATGGCGTATCCTTCAACTGCAAATGTTGCATAGAGGCATTTTAACTATAAGATTACACAAAGGATTCACATCTCTCTCAGATATTTAACTATAAGATTACACAATGGATTCACATCTCTCTCAGATACGTTTAGTATTTCCATTTTCACTAAAGGTCTACATGGGCCTCTGGGGGCTCAGCGGTAAAGAATCCACCTGCCATGCAGGAGACACAGGTTCGATCCCTGGATTGGGAAGATCTCCTGGAGAAGGAAATGGCAACCTACTCTTGTCTGGGAAATCTCATGGACAGAGGAACCTGGTGGGCTACAGTCCAAAGGGTCACAAAAGAGCTGGACACGACTGAGTGACTAGACAACAACCACATAGGTTCAGGATGTGAAACAACTTTCTCAAAGTGTCTAAGCTAATTTCAGGCCAAGTTAGAGATACATGAGTACCATAACATGTTGCTCATATGTGGAAGCTAAAAAAAATGATACAAATGAATTTATTTACAAGACAGAAATACTCACAGACTTAGAGAATAAACTTATGGTTACCAGGGGAAGGGATGGGGTGGGAGGGATATACTGGGAGTTTGGGGTGGATATGTCCACACTAATGTATATAAAATAGATAACCAACAAGGTCCTACTGTGTATCACAGGGAACTCTGTTCAATATTCTGCAATAACCTAAATGGGAAAAGGATTTGAAAAAGAATGGATACTTACATGGGTATAAGTGAATCACTTTGCCATACACCTGTAAGTAACACATCATTGTTAATCAACAATACTCCAATATAAAATAAAATAAAGTAACTTCAGGGGATGTATGAATCTAAAAGATGTGCAATTAGAACAGGGATTAAATGTACTTCTGAATTTTAATGTCTGCTTGAAAATTGTACAAATTGATTTGTGTGTAAGGATGAACATGTTGACTTAATTTTGGGAGAGCTTTTAGTTTACTATTCAAAAGACAGAAGACATTTCCAAGTACATGTGCTATATCTGTGTTCAAGGTAAAGTGTTTAACACAAGCTTTAGTCGGAGGAGAAAATTCACACATTGAAAAACTAGTCCTCCTCATGCTGAAAATTTTCTTTAGATAGATTGTGTGGAGGCAAAAACTGAATTCTTTTGGTGCCTTGACACTCTTTCCCCATTTTCCTGGCTTACTTCTTCCACTTTCTGTGAGCTGCTCATGGGAACTTGGTCTCATCTGCTCTGTTATCTTCCTTGCGGAGTCCTCTTATTAGATATTGTATATAACGGTCTCTTAGTAGCATCTTTCTAAGCCCCTCTCCCACCCTATCGGTGTCTTCCAACACATTTAGAGCTCCTCTTGGTAGGACTAGAAACATGAGACTCACCTTTTCCTTCTCTGCCAGGACAGTTGCAGCAGCAGCCAGCACTGCTTTCTTTCATCCTGTAGTCATTTGGTAAAACCTTTTGGTGTGAATGTACTCCAGGGCTTGTCTATTTTGGTTGTACTCCCAACAAAGGTCCACATAGTCAAAGCTATGGTTTTTCCAGTGGTCATGTACAAATGTGAGAGTTGGAGCATAAAGAAGGCTGAGTGCCGAAGAATTAATGCTTTTGAACTGTGTTGGAGAATATTCTTGAGAGTCCCTTGGACTGCAAGGAGATCAAACCAGTCAATCCTAAAGGAAATCAGTCCTGAATATTCATTGGAAGGACTGAGGCTGAAGCTGAAACTCCAATACTTCGGCCATCTGATGCCAAAAGTTGATTCATTGGAAAAGACCCTGAAGCTAGGAAAGATTGACAGGAAAAGGAGAAGAGGACCACAAAGAATGAGACCATTAGATAGCATCACTGACTCAACGACATGAATTTGAGCAAACTCTGAGAGATAGTGAAGGATAGGGAAGCCTGGTGTGCTGCATATTCCATGGGGTTGTAGAGTTGGACACGACTTAGCAACTGCAAAACAATAGCAACAAACTACCAACAAAATTCAGCACATGGGATATGGTTCTACAGTAACTAGAGTTTGAGAGTTTTGAGAACTTTATTACAATCCTTGAGAGCAGCACCATTCAGTACAGTGGCCTGTAGTCATAGGTGATGCCTTATATTAATTAAAACTAAATAAAATTTAAAACTCCTTTTATCAGTCATTCCACACACATTTCAAATGCTCAGTAGTCATGTGTGGGTAGCGGGTACTGTTTTGGACAGCACTGAGATCGAACATTCCCATCATCATAGTAAGTTCTGTTGGACAAGCTGCTTTAGGTAGCTGGAAAAAGCCATCTGGAGTTTAAAAAAAAAAAGGGAAGAGTGGTTGTGGTTATGTGAGCCATAGCCTTGAACTTTAGAGAAGTCCAGGGGAGCTGGAAGAAACTGCAGAAATCGTCCGAGGTGAGTCATGTGGTTTACAGACTGGAGGGCTTGGGGTGGGGCTGGTGACTCATCAAAGCTTCCTGACTGTTTCTGTCAACTACAGACTGGCACTTGCCATCTACCTCTGCAAGGGTTAACTCACGTGCTGCTGCAACTGCTGATTTCCAACACGCCCTGAGTGGAGTTCAGCAGCCAGGCTTTCTGAGCTCGGGGGAAAACTGGCAGAACTGGCCTTCATATAGTTAAATATCTTTAGGAGCCGATTTTATGAGCCCGATTCTTGCATCTCCTCATATCTAGAAAAGAACTAACATCCTTCATGCTGACGACTGCTCCTTGTGACCAGCAGAAACCTGTTGCAGAAAAATATGCTCATGCTTGCATATATTCCCCCTTCATCAAAACCACATATATACTGACCTTCCCCGTTGCCTCTTTGGAGCAGCTTCTCAGAACTATTTCAGGTGCTGCCTCCTGGACTATGATCTCATTTTGCCCCAAATAAAACTTAGCTCACAAGTCTCACATCGTGCATTTTTAAAATGTGCTTTTCCTCACAGTGTGGCTTGTAATAAGTTGTGCGCTACTGTTTGAAAAGTTAACACAATGTTGACATGATAAATTACTAGCTTATCATCCTGCTTTTCTCCATCACCAAGCTCCTTGAGAATCTGTGTTCAAGCTTCCTTCTCTCTCCCGCCCCTGTTCGCTGGCATCTCCTGACATATGGCTTCAGCCCAGAGTAAAGTTAGGGCTTCCCTGGTGGTTCAGTGGTAAAGAATTTGCCTGAAATGCAGGAGACATGGGTTTGACCCCTGGATCAGGAAGATTCCCTGGAGAAGGAAATGGCAAACCGCTCCAGTATTCTTGCCTGGGAAAGCCCATGGACAAAGGAGCCTGGCAGGCTACAGTCCGTGGGGTTGCAGAGAGTCAGACATGACTTAGCAACTGAACAACAGAGTAATGTTACCAAGTTCAAGCTCCTACTGCTCACTTCCCGACAAGTCAATAAATCAAGAAAGTTTTAGGGGCAAGGATCAACTTTATATGAAAGCCAGCTGACTGAGAAGATGGTGAACCAGTCTCCCAAGAACCATCTTCTTAGGGTCTGGATACTAGTTGCTTTTACTAGAGTGGGGAGGTGAGGTGATAAAGTAAAAAGGCCGTATTTTTCACTCAGTCCTGTCAGACTCATTGCAACCCCGTGGACTATAGCCCTCCAGGCTCTTCTGTCCGTGGAGTTCACATGGTAAGACTACTGGAGTGGGTAACCATTCCCTTCTCCACGGGATCTTCCGGACCCAGGGATCGAACAAGGGTCTCCTGCAATGCAGGCAGATTCTTTACCACTGAGCCACCAGAAAGAAAGTGAGAGTGAAAGTTGCTCAGTCCTGTCACTCTCTGAGACCCCATGGAAATTCTATACAGTCCATGGAATTCTCCAGGCCAGAATACGGCAGTGGGTAGACTTTCCCTTCTCCAGGAGATCGTCCCAACCCAGGGATCGAACCCAGGTCTCCAGCATTGCAGGCGTGTTCTTTACCAGTTGAGCCACAAGGGAGGCCCAGGAATACTAGAAGCCCCAAAAGGCCAAAAGTTGTTACAAATATTTCCCGGTTTCAGCCAGATTCCTCCAGAGGGGTTATGCTAATTTCCTCTTTCTTGCAACCATTCACAGGTGAACTGAGTCAGAATGCCTCCTGTGAGCTGAATAAAGGTGTTTTAGGCAGGGGAGGCAGGGTCCCCTGTGACAGGCCTTTATGTATACTTGGAGTTATAGGCAGCACTCCTTCCTTCAGTGATGCACTTGTGACAGAAGCAGTAGGAAAAGAAAGTTAAAGTGAAGGAAACGGATCCAACATGGAGTCAGATTTGTTCTTCCCTATTACAGTAAGTCAGTAAGATTTCTCTGCCAAAGCCATTGCTAACATCTTAGTGGGGACTTCCGTGTTGGCTCAGTGGTAAAGAATTCGCCTGCCAATTCAGGAGACACGATTTCCATCCCTGATCTGGGGAGATCCCACATGCCTTGGAGCAACTTAAGCCCGTGGGCCACAACTATAGAGCCTGTGCTCCAGAGCCTGGGGGCTGCAGCTACTGAGCCCCCACGCCCAGAGCCTGTGCTCCGCACGGGAAGCCACCTCAATGAGAAGCCCGCACTGCGACCAGACAGTAGCCTCCCCTCCCCGCAGCGGGAGGCAAGCCTGTGCAGAGTGAAGACCCAGCACAGCCAGAAATAAAAATAAAGAAATAAAATGAAAAACAATAACACCGTGGTCACTAAATACAAAGGCTGTTTATTATTTTGTAGTCTGCTCCTTGAATTCTAGTTTTTAAAATTAATTAATTTATTTTAATTGGAGGCTAATTACTTTATAATATTGTGGTGGGTTTTGCCATGCATTCACATGAATCAGCCATGGGTGTACATGTGTCCCCCGTCCTGAGCCCCCCTCCCACCTCCCTCCCCATCCCATCCCTCTGGGTCTTCCCAGTGCACCAGCCCTGAGCGCCCTGTCTCATGCATCGAACCTGGACTAGCGATCTGTTTCACATATGGTAATATACATGTTTCAATGCCATTCTCTCAAATCATCCCACCCTCGCCTTCTTCCACAGAGTCCAAAAGTCTGTTCTTTACATCTGTGTCTCTTTTGCTGTCTCGCATATAGGGTCATCATTACCATCTTTTTAAATTCCATATATATGCGTTAATATACTGTATTGGTATTTTTCCTCCTGACTTACTTCACTCTGTATAATAGGCTCCAGTTTCATCCACCTCATTAGAACTGATTGAATTCTATTTTTAAATCGAACATTGAAGCGTAGCCAGCTGCACGCTCCATCCTTCTTCTCTTCTTCCCTCTGCCTTATCTCCTGCTCCTCTTTCCTCTCCTTGATCTCCCTCTCCGGTACCTATCCCTTCCTCCCCTCATCTCCTAAACGGGGCCATTTAAGACCTGCTGTTTTCCATGTTACCATTCTCCCTAAAGTCTCTCCCTGGGCAATTTTACCTGATACAGAACTCCGGCTAAGTGTCCAGATGATTGATTCCCCACCTGCAACTCCAGCTTTGATCTAGTGTATTATGAGCCCAAATCCCAAGGTTGCTACCTCACAGGAGACTCACATTCATCACCCACTGAGCCCTAAATGGTTTTCTTTCTTCTCCAGCCCTCGTTCTTCCTAAGGCATTCTATTTTTGTTAAAGACACAGTAATTCTATGAGCTACCCAGAATCGAAGTCGTAGGGCCATCTGTGCCTCCTGCGGGTGACCAGCCATGCTGGCATGCCCAGGAGTGAGAGATTACACAGAGCAGGACTGTTTGTGCTGAAAATGTGAAAGCTCCTAGTAAACCCAGGTTGGTCATCTTACTTGCTCTTCTTTTGTCCCCAGAACTAATCAGCCATCTCTTTGCTCCATCTCCACTTCCATCTCTGCTGTGATGCCCACGCCAAGAGTAATGGAAACCATCACTCCTTTTTCTAGGAGCCTTGGCCTTTCGAGAGCAGTGGAGCCTTTAAGACGAACATAATGGCCTGTTACTTTCTTCACCCCCAAAAAGGTGAGAAAGGGCATTGTTCAAGCCCAGTGTAGGGAGAACTTTTTACAAAAATTGTGTAATTTTGCAATTGCCTTCCAAGTTTTCCATAACCATGTAATTAAAAGAATTATTTGAGAGTTCTGGTCCTTTCTCATCCAGAGGCATCACCTCATCTTCTGGTTTTCCACGATTTATAATGCCATAGACACGTTCTGAAAAAAGGGGTTATTGTATGTTTATAGTTTAGTGGAGTTGTTTTCTATCCAGGAAGGCTGGAAAGAAATAATTGTTTTAGAACGCACC